CACGATGGCAAGAAGAGGATCCACATCTTTGGGCCGAGCGGATCCTGCCTGCAGCGGTTCGGGGAGCGGGGGGACGCGGGCAACGATATCAAGTACCCGCTTGATGTGACGGTCACCTCGGATGGGCATGTGGTGGTCACCGATGGTGGGGACCGCTCCGTGAAGGCCTTTGATTTTGAGGGAAAGGGGGTCCTGGCTGTGCGGGAAGGCTTCTGTTTGCCCTGGGGCTTGGATGCCACCCCCGACTGTGAAGTCATCCTGACAGACTCAGAGGCAGGCACTCTCTACCGCTTGACAGCCGACTTCAAGAAGGGGAAATTAAAGAAGTGTCAGATAATTCGGTCGCAGCTCATCAGCCCGCGGGGGGTTGCAGTCTCCCAGACCTCGGGTGCTATTGTGGTAATAGAGCATCTGAAAGCTCAAGGACTGAACAGCGGCAGCACCCGAGTGAAGATATTCAGTGCAGAGATGGATCTCCTCAGCCAGATGGATAGCTTCGGACTGAACCTTGTTTTCCCTTCCAAAATATATACTACAGCTGTGGCCTTTGACAAAGACGGCCGTATTATAGTAACAGATATCTGTAGCCAGGCCGTAATAAGTTTAGGGAAACCTGAGGAGTTTCCCACCTTTAACCCTCTAATTAGCCACGGACTTTCTTACCCTGTAGGACTGACCTATATGGCAAACAATTCCCTCGTCGTTTTAGACAGCGGTGATCATTCAGTAAAAATATATAGCTCCACCTGAGTGGGTTTAGATGCTTACTACTATAGGTTCAACCTGCTTTTGAAAAGCAAGCGAAGTTTGGGTGTTAGTAGGTATTTAAGGAGGAAGCATCTTCTGGTCTTTAAGTGAAATTGCCCTCACTGACCGACATGCTGTGTGCTTCCTGCAAAACTGACATCAAATCTCTTGCCTCTCCACGGGCGAAGACGTGGCCATTACAGGCCATAGTCAGCAATGAATCAACCAAAGGAAGAAATTGGCATTTTAAAACTATGCCATACCTTGACAACCACAGGTTTTTGGTACTTTTTGGCAGGTAATAACAAGGACGTTTGGAATGGAGTAAGCGAAGACTGGCACCAGGGAGAGAAAGGGATGCATCGTTTGTTTATGCTTTCCAGCACATAGTTTTTATTATTCTTCATTAAGCATAAATGCACTAATGAGGGTGACAGAGTTTCTATTTCCAGGATTTCTGCATGAGAAAGGAGACTGGTGTGACGAAATGATAGGAGAAATGGAAGCTTCGGTTCAAGCTTGTCTGAATCCAGCTAAGATCACTGCGATGGAGGAGCTACCACTGATTAGTGAGTTATGTGAAGTGAATTAGGGCGCAAAGCCTACTTTTTCCATACCGAGAAAACGCACTTCTGGTCACGCTCTTCTCTATACTAATTTATTCCCACCTTTCTTAGCGTTGTACTGGAGCTCTTGGTCTTCCTGTATAATGCACAATTCTGCGTCATCTTCTAGAGATAATTTGGTGTGTGGTTACTAGCATGGGCAGCTTTCCCTAAAAGCCTCTTGAAGTATTCGTGTTTAAACCACAAATACTTCTGCATATATAAAACTGGGTTTTCTGTGCTGCTAACACAGCTACGCTTGGGAGGTTTCCAATGCTGCCTGCCTCTGCCTTGTCGTTTATATGGTACTTTTGCGCCCCAAATACCAACATTCAACTGAAAATTGCCTTGTTGGTGAGAAGAAAAAGAGAAAGGGGGATTTAAGCCTCCTTTTCTTCCTAGCTTTCAAGTGAGGTTTTGCTGTTTGTGAATACACAGCAGGTTTATACCAGTTTGTATTTCCTTGAAAACGGTTTCACTGTGGAGTTCTGTTGCCTTATTGCACAGTGGAAATTAAGGTATATCTGAATTATTTTGAGGAGGATTTAACAAACCCACTAGAAGTCACTGCTGCATTTTTAGGCATTTCCTTGCTGCTAAAATAATTATTTATGTGGTTCAGCATTAAAAGGAAGTTAGATATAAATGTAAATGCTGTCTAAGTAGAGATAACTATGTTGAAATGGCATAAAATTTTGAGGTAATTTATTTTATTTAGTCCCTGAAATAATGAATATTAATAATTTGAAATTCACAGGGGTTCTTTCTCTCGGTAAATTTTTAATCTGGCTTTTGGTCTGACTTTAGGGCATTTAATAACTGCATGTATTGCTGCACCCGTGATTTACCAAATACTTAATTTAAACTGGAGTGGTTTTAGCCCTCTAATTCAGACAATGTCTTATGTTAACATTTATATAATCAAAACAAATTATTAAATGCAGCTATTTGTAAAGGTTATTTGAACAGTGACCTGCCAATAAAGTATGGTTTGCTTACTCTGTACTGAATAATTTAGTGAAAGATCTTCGTATCTTTTTATCATATGCTCCTCTGTTACAATCCAGTTTCTCTATCACAGTTGCCCTGTAGATGGTTTCCTTTTTTTTTTTATTTGGAGATATCCTGCTAAAGTTGTTGTAGGGTCCTTTGTTGCTACTGAAAAGTAGCTGGACCTGCGCATTTGGTCTTTTCCAGGCTTCTCAGCTGCCAGGCCACACAGCAAGTGCCTTTGGTGGGACCAGCAGTGCTCCGTGGCTGTTCTGCAGTCGGATGTGGCAGCCCTGGGCAGGAGTTCACTTGAGGGGTCAGGAAGGAAATTTACTCAGAGAAGTAGCCCTCCGGGTTATGTGTTCCTTTCCAGGTGCCAAGGAGACATCAATCTTTGAGGGATATAGAAACAATTAGATAAGACTTCCTTTGGGGAGCTGCTATGTTTCGAGATGTATGCAATACCTTCAATGCTGTATTCGTACATAATTAATAGTTTATTGCAATAGCACCTGTGGGACCTGGACCCTTCCTCGGAGCCGTGGGCTGTGAGCTTTCATCTCCTCAAACCGTCGTGTGCACCAGGAGCTTGTTTTTGCTACTGAGCTCACGAATGGGCAAATTTCCTAGTGCTTACTGCCATGTGGGCAACTTTCCAGCAGCTGAAATGCTGATTTTAAAGTATTTGACTCAAGCTGTTTTAAAATGCACAAAAAGTCCCATTGTTGCCCATTCTGCTCCTGTCTCCTTTGGTATATGACCAGAAATCTCTTGATGTTTGGGTTTATAAGCAAAATAAACTTTGTGCCTTTGTTCTACCTAGTTTGCTGTATGCCATCTCCTGCAGTCTCTGCTTTACCCACCTACTGAAAGCAAATGTGGACTTTTTCTGTGAATGATACAGCCGCTTTCCTTTTGCTATAAAGCTTGGTGCTTACAACACACATCAAAGAAACCATTACATTCTGTCTTAATTCATTTGATGCCTAAAGTGAGAGGCCATAAAGAACTGTCTAGAAACGCGTGTTAAAAAAGCTGAGGTTTTCAGCGTATAGGGGAAAATGCAGCAGTAAACCCGAAATCTTTCTTTTGAGAAGATTTTGGGAGAGAATTTGAGATAATAGGAGACAGAGATCCACCAATATGCAGATAACAAACTAAAAAGCCTTTGATGCTTATATATGTACGTTTCCCCTATAGCCATTGTAGATACCCATTGCCTTCAGGATGATGCCATAACACCATCTGCTTTTCAGAGGCCCAGGGGACGCAGGGGATGCTCCTATCCATCTGCAAATCTGTCGCCATTTAGTCACAGATTTCAACAGAACAGAAGCTCAGGTTCTGAGAGAGGGACAGCCAAGGGTAAGGGACACCTGTAACGAGGTAGGTGATGCTTTTGGAGTCTGGATACACCCAAAATAGGGATAGCTAGATGTGTGCTTACTCTTGGAAAAGAGCACTGGGCTTTTCATCTAGGATACAACATGGCAACTGTGTCTACTCGCTTCAGTGATAATTACTGTTGCATTTATTTATTTTTTAAAGAACCTAAACTAAATTTGCATAACCCTCTGCACCTCATGCCTTAACAATTTGGATTAAAACCAAACAAATATAAAGGACAGTATTCCCCTAGTGTAATCTCTTCAGCCCCTACTATAGTGTTATGTCTGTTGTGCACGCACACACTGCAGTTCCTATTTGGTTTATTTTTAAGCACTGATCTCGGGTTGCTGTCATTGCATATAAATACACCAGGGTATGTTTACGGTGTTTAGGAATAAAGGAGGCAGTGAAGTTTCAGAAATGTGTATCAAAATTGTGTCCTGTGACATAGGACAGCTTGTGAACAAAATAATTTTAGATAAAGAATATAATCAATTTTTCAGATCAGTGAGTAAAAAGAAGAAAGAAATACGAGGGGGGGAGGTAAAATTTACTTATTTTTGGCCATTGTCTGTGTGACCATCTGTCCATTCCCTCCAGCCACGTTGCTGTGCACATCAGTTTGATGTTTATATTTTCACAAAGTATGAACGTAACAGCACCAGAGCATTTTTTTTAACATGGACTGATTTCTGATGAAGAGGAGACCTCCTGTCATGTCCAGCCCCCAAACCACTAAGAGTTTTATGGAGAAGGGTCCATCAAAACGATGGCCTTAAATAAAGGAGACCTGTCCTTTCTGGAAGGGTTGACAGAGGTAAAAAAGCAGCTTTCTCCCCTGGGATCATGGGTTATGGTGCTGTTGCACTTCACACGGGAGGAATTTGCCTTTATTTCTCTCTCTTCAATGTTTGGGGCTTTTTTCTGACTCTTCTCAGAGGTGCATCCTTATAGTTTACAAGTCACCTGTGAGTCACAGCTTGTCTCCACAGGAGTGTAATAAAACTAAAGCAAAAATACAGAGATCTAGGAAAATTAGTTCTCAACCTCTCACTTAATTCAGACATCTCGGGAGAAATGACTGATCATTCAGAAAGCAGCAAGCGCCTGAGGCCTGGCCCCTGTGTGGATGGTTTGAATTTACTGACAGCAGGATTTTCTCCCCTCTTTACCATCAGTTCTCCTATAAGTACACCAGAAGCTGCTATATGGAATGTCCTGCTCTAGAAAAGTCTGGTGGGAAATGACTCCTAAGAGATTGCTGTTCGTAACCTTCTCGTCAGGTCTGTCAGGCCATTTCTTGAGCAGCCCTGTCTGTCGCCAACAATTGCTGTTTGAGTTGCCAGCTCATCCGATGCAGAAGGCTCTCTTGGTTTGGCCACCTGTGTCCAAAAGTGCTTCCATCTGAATGGGGGATCTTCCAGATGGGATGCATAGCCTCCAGCAACAGGGGGGCTTTCTCCTGACCCTGCCAACTTGCCTTAACTTGATGTGAAGGCTGCAGAGCCAGCATGAAGGCACAGACGAGGCTTTGGAAACAGTCACCTGAAATAGGTACATACAGAGTTCAAAATTGCTGAAAGAATTCAAAATTTGTCATGTCACATATGCAGCCACTGACTGTAAAAAGGAACAGGCCAGGCAGACCTGAAATAAGGTATCGGTCTGCCTTTCCATGCAATGCCCAACCATTGCATTAATTCCTCTTCAGCAAACTCTTTATGCTACTGAATGCGATGGGGAATTATTATTGTTACCTGCATATAAAAAATCCCAAATGTACAGAACATGTAAACCTTTAAACTTGAAAATACGTCAAACTAAAGCCCCACCCAGCATTTTTCTCTTTGCCATGTACTCCTGTGGACCATACATCAGTCCAGGGGAAGGAAAATGTTTCTCCATCAAAGCGGGCATTGACTATGCCTGCACATTACTTTTTCAACTTCATTATCTCCACTAAATGGGCTACTAATAACACATTTATATTTGATACTGTTTCATAAACAGACAGGCTTT